CCCCCCAACCACTTACCGGCCAAATAGCAGCACACGACTGCCTGGCCAGGCTCCTGAAATGGGGAGACCCCAGAGCACTTCCCCATCAACCCTCATGCCCCCTGCTCCCCGTGGCCAACTAGCAGCACGCCACTGCCTGGCTGGGGTTCCTGAAACCCCAGAGCTCTTCCCCCCACAGAAGCCTGGTGCTTGGGCAGAGCACAGCCCTGCGCAACGCCACCTGGGATGGCAGTGATCATGTTCTAAGTTAACCCTCAACGGGATCTGGCGCAAATGTTCGATAAAGCGCTCAGACTGAAAGCATTTTAGTTTACTGCCTCATCTATCGAGAGTTAACTTAGAGCACGATCCGCCGTTTTTCAAGCACTCTTAAGTCATGAATGTCTGTTCAGTTATGGCTTTAGAGCACTTTCAGCTCACTTAAAGTGAGATGGGTATAGTGTCTGTACCTAACCATTGTATCTTCTTGATGTTCTTCATACTGCTACTATTGCTAATCCTAGATTTACCAAAATGTTTCATTTCTTTCTTTTCAAATTTTATGTCCTTACTGACGCATGCAAAGGTCTTGTTCCTGTTAGACTGTATAGCCAGTCAATGGGTATATCATAGGTAAAATAATAGAATTGATGACTACTTTGTATTTGAATGGTAGCAGTGCCTATAGGTAGCACCTAATATCTGAACCGCAGGGTGGTAGACATTATGCCCTATAACAAAAAATACCCTTGCCTCAAAGTTTATATTGCTTGCAGGCAAGAATGAAAGAAATGACATATAATTAAACTGGAATAAAGAAGAGCTCCAGTTTGTTGCATCTTTACCTTGAGATCTATTCCAATGAAATTTCTGTGTGGAGCTCCTGCTCCAGTAGGGCCTCTGTGTTTTATGGGCTTGCAAACAGTATCTTTTCCCTTAAAAGCTGTAACTCTTTGACAGTTCAAGTGCAGAAAGTAGTAATCTTTTTCTGCATTAGATCTCATGAGGAGCTTGCTTTCTTTTGGATTTTATTTGGGTACGTGAGAAATATTCAATCATAAATTATCATCCATCATCAATTATATTTTACACTCAGTTAGATAGAAAAGTAAAAGGTAGCATAATACGATGGAATATGTAAGGTCTTCAGTAGTGGGAGATAGGCAGACTTCCTCCATATGGCTGGTAAAAGAAGGAGAATTTAAAACAAATACATTTTTCCCCCCAGAAAGTTTATACACTCTTTTTTTTTTTCTTGATAGTGTACAAAGTTAAACTTATAGAATTACTAGTCACTTTTGAAAGTCCTGTCTACTGTTTCTAAATATTAATAAAAAGCAATATCTATTGCATTTTACTCCTAGTATCCCAGAATTTGCCCTTTGCTTTATCCTGAAATGTTCAGCAAAGACAGCAATAACAAGAAGTATGTCCATAAACTTAAGCAAGGAATAGCTTTAATAATGTTGCAATTTGTGCTACATAATTGCATGCAAGTGGATAAAAGTCTAGTGACATGACATGACAAGGAAAATGACATTTAGATTGCTTTTTTTTTTAGTTTTTAACACTTGATACTGAACTTCCTTAATGTATAATATAAAAAAGGACAGACTGTTGCTTGCTAAACAGTATCCTTGCCTGTCATTTAATAAAGCCTAGAAAAAATGTTATTGGTAAAATAAATGCACATATGGAATCTGAGGATTAAAGGTACTTTTTTCTGAAGTGAGTTTTAACTAAAAGACACATCTGAAAAGAACTGTTAAAGGTAGAAGTTCAAAATGCATTACTCATGAATAAAATAAATGCTCTTGTTGACTGTCAAAAAAACCCAAAACCTTTACTTGATCTCTCTGAAACAAAGCCAGTGATTATTCCTAGCCTTTTTTATAATGCCAATAGAAAAAACTCACAGAGAAATGTTGGACTAGTTTGAGTATACGACTGAAGAGGTGTTATTGTGAGTCTAATCCAGTATGCTCTTTCTGCCAGTAATGCTTGCATTGTCTAGTTAAATTATGTGCTTCTCTAGTATATCAGGAATTTTGAACAAACCTTAATCAAATGAGAAACAAAGTCTAGCATGACAATTACTTGTGATGCTGTTTCAGATGTGGAAGGCTACAGCAGGGCACTCGATTTCTGTCAGCCAGGATGATGGAGCTGATGACTGGGAAACAGATCCTGATTTTGTGGTATGGCTTTCAAACTATCATTCAACCATAGCAGTCCAATATAACATAGTGAAGACGTTCTCTGCCCTAAAAAGATGATGTCTAAGCCAGTTGGGTGCAGACTGGTCTTGACATACAAGGTACGCTGTAGGAGGGGGTAATTTTTCATGTGCATGTTTGACTAATGATTCAGTGGGAATTTTCCATGTGTTGGAGTTAATAAGAGAAGGATTTGAAGGAAGAGAGCAAAACGACTTGAAAATAGGAGTCTATTCCATGCTCTGTCAGTAACAGAAAAGCAACAGGCTAAGGCAGTGACAGGTAAATGGAGCAATAAGGCTGTCTTTTAACTTTTGCAGTTTCAGGGGCATTAGAGATCCTTTAGAATGTTTGAACTATTTGAACTCTAAAGCCTTGGGTAAAACTCTAATGGTTTTTAACTTCTTTTAAATGTCTTTAATAGAATGATGTGAGCGAGAAGGAGCAACGCTGGGGTGCTAAAACAGTGAAAGGATCTGGCCATCAGGAGCACATCAAGTAAATGAGCTCTTTTTCATTACTTCCATTCTCTTGTTACTGCTAATAGAGGTAATTTTTAGTTGCTTCACATGTTCAGTGTTTTACATCCTGATGGTTAGAAACACAAGAGAGCCTCTATAAAGCATCAGTTAAAAAAATATTTCCAAGCTTATCTATCTGTCACCTCTAGTAGCAAAATAAGATAAGAAGTAATGTTCTCTTTCCTTTATTTTTCTTTCTTCAGTGGCAGCTCAGTTCTTTCTGTCAATCTTATGTCTGGGAATGACCTTGTTTTGCTTTAGTGCAAGAAAGTACATATTCACATGTTATAGAAAATTTTGAAGCACATGACAGAGTTTCATTTCTAAAAATAGTGCCTGCCAAATGCATACAAATTCTAGCATACCAATCATATAATGCCAGTATTGAATCCTTTGTCAGAAGGAGAAACATATGCATCATAGTGGGCCATTTAGATCCAAGAGCTTATGTGATGCCTTATTGGCCGTCTTCTGAGCCGCTCAATACTTAGTGGAAGTATGGTTAATATTTTACCCTGAAGAATGTCAAAAAAGGGTTAATTACTTTTCCTTCTGGCTTATCGATTCATAGAGAACTGATCACCATAGCAGTTGAGGAGCACTTGGATACTAAGTATAAAATGTCATAAATGCTGCAAGTGGAGAGAGTTAAGCACATGAAATTTTAGTAGTCAAATGACCTACTTCATAGGAGTAAAACTGATCCTAGGAGTGTACTGCTGACACCTACTGGCTGTACTGGCAGCATTTATGTTTCCAGAGTTTTGCTTGAGGCAGCTGCAACTCAATTGGGAAGGGTCTTGAACAACAGATTACTGTTTTTTTCTAGCTCTAGCACAAACTGTTAGTTCTTTTTTGGGAGGTAGGCAGTTTTCTTCCTTTAAAAAGTATAAAGGAAGGGAGAGAAAATAAATTTGCCTTTAATGCCTTCCTGTTCTGAACTTTATCATAAGTAAGAATCCTTTATCTGGATCAAGGCCTTATGGAGGCCTAGAGAGTTCACAGATGCCTGGTAAGAGATGGCCTTTGCCTATACCAGGGGAGAGCTCAAAACCAAAGGAGTAGATGGGGGAACAAAGTGACCACAGCTATGTAAAAGCGCATATAGACTAGTACATAGCCTGCGTCAGTGGTTTTCAAACTTCCTAAAGCCATGGAACCCTTTCATATCACTTCTGCAGTGGAACCTCTACCCCATCCTAAAGACTGACACGGAGCCAGGTGACCCAACCCTGCAATGTTGGTGCAATGGGTCCCAGCTTGCTCTGCCATTACCCCCAGTCTCTTTGTGGAACCCCTGTTAGTATACTGTAGAACCCCAGGGTTCCACAAAACACAGTTTGAAAACTACTGGCCCGGGTAATTGAGCTGTAAGACTGTTCTTTGTGGTAATCCTAAAGGTTAATTTCAGGTGATTGTGTGCAAAATAGCACATCAAGTAGGAAGTCTTTGCTCTGGGACTGTTTTAATGGTAAGTGTTCATAAACCTTACTACATACTTCCTTGATCTTTATGTCTTAAAGTATTCACCAGCTGAGGGAAAATGTGTTTCAAGAACACCAGAACCTCAAGGAGAAAGAGCTTGCAACAGGACCAAAAGCTTCCCATGGCTATGGAGGGAAATTTGGTGTGGAACAAGACCGCATGGACAAAGTAAGTGTAAAGCCTCTTCTCTGCTGCCATTCACCACCCCATGCTGCCGCCACTCCGCCTGCAGCCATGCACCTCCCCACACCCTCCAGTTCTGGCCACCGGGAGTACACTTATTAAAAAAGGTTGAAAACCCCTGGCTTATGTCGTGTGCAGATATGTTGTTCTCTTTCAAGTCAATGTTTAGATTTCTGAAGGGAAGTTTCTTAATTAAAAAAGCACCTAACCTATGGATAAATCCATTTCCTATTTCATGTGCTGTATCAGTTCTTGTCTGCTTGAGGCTGTCAGAGAATGAATATATGCATTTTTCTCAAATTAGAAAGTAGGCCTCTGCAGAAAGTATGATAAACTGAACAATGACAGATAACTTAGATATTCAGAAAACTGCTGTGTATTTTTGGCCAACAGTAGTTGCATTATTTTTAAATATGGGCTTGACAGCCATTTGATTACAAATAACTATTCTTAGATCATTTTTATCAAACACCTGAGTGACTTGAATATAGACATATGAAAAGGTGCTGATCAGAAGTGTTCAGTTGCTTGTCTGCCCATGTATAATGATCATGCTGGCATATCATCCCAGCAGTGTGCTATACTAAAATTAGAGCTAATACAAGAGTCAGTACATTTTAGTTTCTTGGGACCATTGCCTGTTGAATGTATCCAACACGTTCAGTTTGTTTTTTTTTAAATTCATCCCCTGTATTCCATAGACATTTGCTGCATAATCTCCAGTGGACCCTTGAAGTGCGGTAATGTAAATGGGAGAGCTGAGAGGAGTATTATTGAGTAGATTAAACATTAAATTTACCTTGTAATCTTCAATCGCTCCAGCACTGACTATGTATACTTCATCATATTCATTTAGTATTCTACATGGACTCATGAAATAACAAATATGACAGCTACTCCACAGTGTGATAAATGTTTTGTGGGAGTTTAATAATGAAATAAGCAAATGTAGCTATATTTGCAGCACTTAAAATCTTTAAAAGAGCAGTATTTTAATTGTCACAGGTCACTGTTCAAGTAATACTAGTATTGGAGGAAACTGCTTTTAAGGTGTTTTAAAACGATGAAGCAGTACTATATGGTACCCCAGTCTATAGTTCCTTCTTCTATCACAGTTTCTGTATGGATGTGTACTGTGGGTGAAATCTAAATAACATCGGAGCGAATTGCTGACTTCAGTACATCAAGATTTCATTCTGTCTGAAAGCCAGAACGGCTTGATGCCAGCCTAAGGAACCGCTTGCATGAATATTTACGTCAGAACTCCAGAACTCATTTAAAAGCTACTAGTGTGCTGCCGAACTAAAGGTTTCCAGGACACTTAATCCTCAGTGGCTAAATGTTGTCAGTGTTGGGTATGGATTATTTTAAAACAAATCAAAAGCACATGTATTACGTTGGGGTAGCTGATGTAAGGATCTGTTTGCTTCAGTCTAAATAAGGGGTATAAAAGATCTGGCCAGATCCAAATAATGGAGCCCTATTATCCAGTCCCTCGTTTTGCCCTCAGGTCCAAAGTAGCCCCACATGCAGCATGTGATGCACACCAGAACAGCCCCAGGCGTAGGGTCTAGCATGTGTGCTGCACACAGCAGTGCTCTGGAACATGTGCTGCACATACTGCCTGTCTGAGACTGTCAAAGATGCGTGCTACATGCGGCATCCACTCCAGCCAGTCAGGGACCACCAAGGCATGTGGTGACTTCCCTTCTCCCCTCCCTAGCTATTCTGGCATGGGCACCAGATGAGCATGGGTCCTGGAGCACGCACCATCCCTCAATCTCCCTTTTTGGAAATGGCTCCCAGTGTATGTGTCCCCATACCTTTCATTACATATCCCAGCCAAATTACCAAATTACTCACCTATGTACTACGTGCTGGATCAAGAGGTTTATACTACTGCTACATTAGTGAAAAATTGAAGCTTTAACAGTAGATATGGTAGGTTGCACTTTCCAGTATGTAATTTCACACCCTTTGTCTTACTTGAAGGGACAGTGTCCTATAATTGGGCCTTTGGTTGTTATGGCTGGCTCAGGTTCCAGTGACTATTTGGAAAGGAAGGCAGCAAAAAAGGCATTAAGCCAGGAAATGGTCGTGAATTCAGGGTTTGGAAAAACAGTTGACTGATAAGAGCATAATATGCCTCATACTGTGTCACTGCTGTTTCATCCTGTGTAGCAGGGATCATTTGCAGAGCAGAAAGGAAGACCATAGCAACAGTGGTCTCATTTTGGAAAATAAACTATGGGCCTTGTTACATGGTAATTTTAGGAAGCTTCTGGAACTCTTAACCTGTGGATTGGTTGCACATTAGCACCTTTTTAAGTGGTTTAAAGCACTCATTCATCTTAAAGTTTCCCTACTCCAGGGCAGGATTATCTCTAATCCATCTAATTTTACTCCTGTTCCATTGAGGTGTGACTACTCTCCACATCTATTTTGCCCAAGATGAAGTCCTTCAGCCTCACAGGATACAGTGCTCCTCCTGAGTCAGGGTGAATGGGGATGCCAGAGCACAGCACCTTGCCCTCTGGGTATGTTGGGCAGAGCAAGCACTGGAGCCCCCAGCAGTCATGATGCCTTCCACCACAGGTTGGACCGGCTTTGCTTCCTGGGCAGAGTAAGCCAGTCTGAGCAGAGGTAGAAAGCACCACAGCCATTGGATGGTCTGGAGTTGCAGCACACTCCCAGTGAGAACAGTGAGCCACTCCTGCCCCTGACTCCTAGATCAGCCTCTACTCACCAGACCTCTAGTAGCAAATCACAGCTGTGCAGATGAGGGACGCAATTCCTCCCCTAAGCTCGTTAATATCTGTTTGGTTTACAGTGTAAGATGTAATGAGGCCCTATTCAGGGGTGGCCAACCCACGAATCTGGAGTCCAGACTTCTGAGTCCAAACTGAGTAATGTGCTTGCTCCAAGCAGTCGCATCATGAGACATAATGGCTGTGGAAGCTAGTCGCCATGTGCTTGTGCAAAGATTAAAGGAGGTGCATATTAACTTCTGAAGAGCCGCATGTGGCTCTGGAGCCGTGGGTTGGCCACCTCTGCCCTATGTCAAGCGGCTCCCTTAAGTTTTCTTAACTAAAATAATTCCAATGATGGACCTAGCCAGAGGGTATATATGCTTATAAGCAAATATGCCAACAACTTTGGTGACTTTAGTTTCTTTGGTTTTTAATGTTTACTGTAGTAAAAATCTTCTAATAATTAGATGCATACATTCACATTGCAAAGAAAATTATTTACTCCAGTGATCCTTATGAGCATATTAACTTTGTACTTTTTCATGTTGAAATTATATATAGTTTTTGCAAGTGATTAATGACAGCTGAGTATGGTAAGGTGTGTGTTGGGAGGAGGGGGTGTGGATTTTTTGTTTTTGCTTGGCTTTAATTGAATAGGATTCAGGGTGGATACAAATCAGTGTTTGGTTTTTTTAAATAAAAAATCAGATTTTTTGCTTTAAATCAGATTTTTTTATTGAATCATATTTTTTATTTTTTGTTAAGGTGCTTTGTTAAAAAGAGAAACTCATATAAAGATCATTTTAATTTAAGATATGTTAAAGCTCAAAGATATCATGAAATAGAATAGGGATTATAACGTCTAATTATATACTATTTGAGACAATATATTCATATAACGCTTTTAGAAAAGTTTTATAAATACATCACAACAGACCGTGGACTATATTATAGGCCCAATCTTACGGGGTTCCAGAGGCTCCTCTATAGATCAGTAAAGATTAAAGAAAACCACTCTACCCAGTGGGACTCAGTTCTCAGTCTAGAAGATCCCATTAAGCATCTGTGATGCTGTTTCAGTTCTCAAACTGGATTTTTGTCTCCAGAGATAACATCCTTGTTAACAGCCGTATATGGAGATGAGAGAGAACAGACCTGATTTACCCACCCATCAGCCATGTTGTCTCTCTGAAAGTTTGTATACGCAGTCAAGCCCCTACCCCTCTCTAAAAGTGAAACATTTCAAGAAAGTAAACAGAGGATATCAAACAACAAGAATGCACTTTTTGTAGAAACCAATAATTAAACTGAGGCTTCCTTACCAGTGATTGAAATTGTTATTTAAATCATGATTTAAATAAATTTGATTTAAATCAAATCCACCCTGTTAGGATTTCAAAGCTCTTATTAAATTGCGTGCTCTAGGGCAGTACTATAATTTTGCAATAAAGTGAAATAAAATTCATATTCCTAGGAGCATATTTTCATCTGCATGGTGTTCAGATAGTGATTTAGATAGTTAACATTTCATCAATGTAGGAGATGGCTTCCCTCATTATTCTGTCTGTGACATATGTGTAAGTTTAGTTTTTATAATTGTCATTTTGCTTTTGTAGGTTTAATGATGATTTCTTTTAGGCTATACAAGTTCCTGCAGCTATCTAATACCACTTTATATGTTTGGAACAGTTTTCTTGCTAGCCAATGATTCATGTCTTTGTGTATGAATGGTGCATTCAGTTGTGACAGCTTTTGATGTTAGCCTGTTGCTTTAAACCTGCAGAGTTCTACATGTTCCTTTTTTCTGACAAGCATACACATGCCAGTATTGTGTGTATGGTCCCTTATCTGGTCTTATATTTTACCTTGCAGTGGAGTGTCCCTTTAACTTTTGGCTTGTAGCAATAGGTTTTGAATCCGTGCTTTTTCTATTTTGTTCCTATAGTTCAATTTATAAATCCCAGTTGGAAAGTTCATGATCTGGCCATTGCTGCCAGAATCATTCCTGAGACTTTGATCACTTTCTTTTCCAGAAGTATATTGACAACTTGGGGACATAATACTATAGTTGTTACTTGTGAAAAATCCTGTATGAATAATTATACAAATATTTGTAAAAATTAATAGTGTAAAGATCCACCCAAATTAATAATTTGCCTCTAAGTGGGAGTATATGTGTGGTTTGTGTGATTAGAAGCACATTTTGCACATAATAAAGTTTCATCTCCTAATTTCTTTTAGTCAGCTGTTGGCCATGAATATCAAACTAAGCTTTCTAAGCACTGCTCTCAAGTGGATTCAGTAAAAGGCTTTGGAGGCAAGTTTGGTGTACAAACAGATAGGGTTGACCAGGTAAGCAATTTCTTATGGCACTGCAGTTACCCATGTCTCTTGCTTTTATCCATTTCTTTAGGGTATTAATTTTTTTTCTTGTGCTATTTGTAACTGTTGCTCTCTTTCTTTAATGCTTATTGGTAAATTGGCACTTTTCTGTTAAAAGACACAAGGGAAGGCCTGAGTACCAAGGAAATATTAAAACCTTTTCCTTAGTTAAGTTATGTTACATAAGAGTGAAAATTGTTGTAAATACTGGGAATTAAATATTGGGATGGTTTAGGAGGTACTGAAAAATGAACGACTTGGCTGAATGATTGTTCTCTGCAGTATATTTGAATCTTGGCAGGTGTAGTGATTCTGTATAATGGAGTTCCATCATTTCCACAGAGAGGTGCTTATACAATCTGCTTTAGCAAGAACTAAGAAAGAAAGCCTATTAGGCCTACTTCTCTAGTGTCTTGAAGGTACTCAAGACCAAGATAGCCTATAAATCTAGACAGACAATGATGTTGCATAGCCAAGAGACCTGGAGCGTGGCTTAAAATTTCATTACTTTCACACTGAACTTTTGCCCATTGACACAGAAGGTACTAAGCTGCTATTGTCTGGCTTTTTAGAACACTTACGCATGTGTTGTTTTTCCTGCAGTCGGCCGTAGGTTTTGAATACCGGGGGAAGACTGAGAAACATGCTTCTCAAAAAGGTAAAGTGTTGAGGTGTGCGGGGTATGTGTGTGTGTTCCTAGATAAATCATTTTTATCAATATCAGATGCTGCTTATAAATCAATAGCGCTCGTGTTTCTGAGGTGTATAGTCAACTTCTTCAAATGTTTGTTTTTAAATAAACAGGCTAAAAAACTATTGCACAAGTCCACAAGTTGTTTTGGTTTTTTTTTAACAAAATTATTTTTGTCCTCAACAATGTGACTTGTTTTTAGCATAGGGGAACAAGGATATATTAAGATAAGATAAAAAACTTGGGTTTGTGACTCCACGGTATCATGCAGAGGGTAGGGGATGCTTGGGAACTGGTTACAGCACTATTGTGCTATATTTTGTTTACAATTGTGATTATTTTTGCCCCAAAATAATATCCTGGAATTCTGTATTGATGCACTGCTTTGACAGACACTTTCGTTTGGCTTAATTGTGCTTTATTCTCTGAACCCAGATTATTCTAGTGGTTTTGGTGGTAAATATGGTGTACAGGCGGACAGAGTGGACAAGAGTGCAGTGGGCTTTGATTACCAGGGTAAAACTGAGAAACATGAATCACAGAAAGGTTAGTTGATGTGAAGGTTTTTCTTTCCATTTCAGTCTGTCACAGGTGCAACCTTGCTAAATATTTATAAATAATACATTTCCTGTACACACTGGATAAATCATAGGATACCTTGGAAAACTTTCTGTGAAAGTGAGCATTTGAATCAGGGATGGCCAAAATCTAGCCTGAAATTCTAGCAGGGCTGGAAATTCAGGGGGCAGTGAAAGCAATGGCAGTGTTAATTCCCACAGGTCCCAGAGCAACTCAGAGGGTCAGTGTTTCATACGACTATCATTTACCCTACCCCACCACCTAGGAACTAGTTCTAGCAACAGCAGCCGGTCAAACAATGTTTTTACTAATGAGCGTTGCCCTGAGCCAAAGCAATTACTTAGGTACCTGCAGCAGTTAACATCACTGCTGCTTGCCCTACCACTCAATGTGGCAGATCCGGATCTGGATCCAACCTATGAGGGATCCCATTCTCTAGGTACACTGGGAGTCCAAACAAGTTTCACACTCAAGTTCTTTAGTTAATAAAGTCCAAACAAGTGTGAAACTTGTTTGGGCTTTGTTAACTAAAGAATTTGAGTGTAGGTTAAACTGAAAATATATGGCAGTCAGAGATACTTGACTAACTTTTTGCAAAATTTTTCTGATTATTTTGAAAAATTAGTCATTCTATTATTAGAACCCTGAAACTATCGACTATAGCAGGGACAGATTTCCCGAGAAAAATAATTAAACTTTATTTATAAATGATACTTGGGAATTTCTAGTCACTTTTTATTTTACTATAATTGGTGAAAAAATTGAGTTCTTTTTTCACAAAAGAGCAAACTCCCTCTGCCTCCCCTCCCCTAAAAATCCCCTGCTCCCACGCTGAACTTTCTAGATAACTCTTGACTATTGTGTATATGTTGCATTGGCACCCAAAATTAGAACTTCTTAAAATAAAAGACTGCTTCTGACAGTATGAAAATTTCATTGTAATTTCAATGTGTTAATACCTAGTTATAACTAAGTACACTCTTTGATATAATCTTGTATAGATTAGAAGTACTGGCATCATCCAGTGTTTGGGCTAGCTTTGACTGCTGTTTTTTGTTTCCTTCCTTGAGGAAAAATATTAACTTAATAATTGAAGAATTTGAGATTTAATACCTTAGATCAAGATTAGCCAGGGATGTTAGTACCTCTTCTAAAGGATTAGCTTAACGTAAGTGGCTATGGCTCACTCAGTAAAGTCTTAATTGTATATTATAATTGTACATTTATAAAAATAAAACTCTTTACTCCTGTCTCCAGATTATTCCAAAGGCTTTGGTGGTAAATATGGTGTTGACAAGGAAAAAGTGGACAAAAGTGCTGTTGGCTTTGAATATCAAGGCAAAACGGAAAAACATGAATCACAGAAAGGTTTTTATTAACTTATTTAATAATAATCTGCTTGGGTTGAGTCAGATATTCTAGTCAGGTATTCTCTCATTTATGTAAGAATGTCAAATCTGGGAGTTACATTATAAAAATACATTCTTTCCACTGATTCCTTTATTAATTAAATGGAAAGAAATACAAAATCCATCCCTGATCTTACAATCTGATTTACATGAGAGCATATTCTCCTGTTGGAATGTCACATAAATAAGTGGAATTCAGCAAAGGCGTCTGAACCTTCAGATGCAGATCAGTTTGCAGAATCAGGGCCTTCTTAAGTATGATACAAATAACCAGATAAAGAGCCATATCATAATCCTGCTTTTTGGTGGAGAGGAAGAGGTGAGTTGCATGCAGCTGACCTATTCCTCTTCTCTATATAAAGAATCAAAGTTAGCTTTGATTCCTCATTTCCCATTGGTAAGATAACTTTGTAGGGGAAGATGGACCCTGAAAAGTAATTCAGTATCATTAATAAAATGCTAGGGGGGAAATCACATCTGCAACACTGGTTTAGTCAAAATATATGTATAATGTTGAATTGCAATAATGGTGTATGGAATTTTATGTGTATAGATTATGTGAAGGGGTTTGGAGGCAAGTTTGGCGTCCAGACAGATAGGCAAGACAAATGTGCACTTGGCTGGGATCATCAGGAGAAAGTGCAACTACACGAATCTCAGAAAGGTACATTTGAGTTAAAGTTTATTCACTTCTTAAATATGCACCTGGTTCATAGGTGTTCTCCTCTCCCCTCTCACTACCTCTGGTAAAATGCTGCTAAGGTAGCTAAGATTGCATTTCCTTTCCATTCTGTTCCTGTGTGTCCAGTAATATTGGTTACATGTCTTCATAATTGCCTTACTGAGTAACTGAAACTATTGACTCACTGTGTCAGATGATCATGGAATAACCTTATCATGAGTCTGCAAGTAGTCTGGAGTCTTTATTTTTCAGTGAAGACTTGGTCAGAAGTAACTTCTCTTGTATGTGAATTGGCAAATCCTGTTTGTCTCACTCAGATATCATCTACAGAGTCGTTGTGTTCCTGCACTTGGGCAAACAATTAAGTTTCCAAACTTTTCAACAGAAGGGGAACACCTTTTCTCAAATTTTGCAGCCACACTAAATAACATATCTGTACCACATTGGCACCTGAAATAACAAATAAGAAGATAGTTGGTCCCTAATGTGGTTAGAGAATTTTATTGTGATTTCACCCTTGATGTCTACTTACAAGTTGATAGATCCTGAATATGGCAGAATTATCAGCATAACACAGCTTTGAGAGCAGATTTAGTCTTTGCAGAACACAAATATTCCTTTTTTTGACCGATATTCAATTGTACTGTCTTAAGGGGTTTTTCTATCGATCAAGTTTGCAGATGTTACCCTTGTGTGTCTTTTTAAGGTCAGGGCTATAAAATACAAATGACGACTGAATTCACTCCTAAGTGTTGTGATATTCACATCTTGAATGTGTACTCAAGTAAAATGTAACAAGCCTTTGTTCATAATATGTTCTTGATCAAATGCGAGCATGAGCATACAACAAAAATACAGATTTGAGAACTGGTGTTTTCAACTTGGGAAGAGCTAAGAACATAGGAATGTAAGGACACCATTCTAGGAACAATAGTTGGTGTTCATCTCTTCCTGATTCCAAGTGGAAACATTGTAAATATACCATACTTACCTGTATCTAAGACAACTTGAAATTGAAGACGACTCACAAATAATTAGATTCTGTACATGGAAAATTGTAAGTTTGTTATAATTTGTCATGTATAGAATCTAATTATTGGTAGATCATCTTCAGTTTGTCCCCACCACCATTGCAGTGGGAAAAGCAGTTGTAATAGGGCAAATGGTAAGAATTTAAGCAGCTGAGGAGCAAGCATCCTGACTCCTGCCACTTGCCCGACTTCCTCCAGGTGTTTGCCAAACCTGCTACCCCGAGCCATTTGCTCCCCTGCTGCTTGCCTACCTTGTGGTGGCTCTGGCTCTAGCTCCAGCCTTGGCCAGATAGCAGTGACAGTCTCCCGTGCATGTCTCCTCAGCTGCACACCCTGTGACCTGTGCTGTGCTCCCTCCCTTCACTCCCCCCACCACATGTGGTCTTCCCCAGGTTTCCCCTCTATACTGTATGGTCTCCTCAATGCTCCCCCCCACCACACACACTGTTTCCCCCTCTCCCACTGCACAAACCACCCTGACCCCATCCAGACACCAGCAACAGTGACAGCAGCTCCCACCCTAGTACTTGAATCCAAGATGAGGATTCCCCCTCCCCTTGTTAAATCCCTTGTTAAATGGGGAAAACACCTTATCTTGGATTTGAGTAAATACAGTGATCTTAAATCTTCATTAAGATTCTTTACTACCTAAAGTTATTGGCAATTCAGAATTTTTGTGATGGGTATTTATGTGTTTCTAACTAAATTTGTCTGTTTTTTTTCTTCCTTTTTTTTTTGGTCCTCTTCACTCATTACATATGGCTTCTTCAGACTATAAGAGTGGTTTCGGAGGGAAATTTGGTGTTCAAACAGAGAGGCAGGACCCATCTGCTGTGGGGTTTGAATACAAGGAGAAACTAGCTAAGCACGAATCGCAACAAGGCACAGTTTCCACTCATAACTTTCTTAGCAGTGCAGCCACTTCTAACACAGACTTTGAGTCGCATCAGAATGCTGCGACCCCACCTTAAGCTTTGACCCCTCGTATTATCTACCAGCATCTTCTGAAAAATGATCATGTTAAGGTTATATTGGAGTAATGTTGTAGCCATGATGGTCCAAGAATTAAGTGAGAGGAAAGGATTTTCTTTAGTGATATCTTTTATTGGACCATCTGCAAGGTTATGTCTTGCTAAGATTCCATAGGTAATAAAATAAACGAAACAATTTTCCACCATTGAAGAAATGGCTGCAAACCAGCATTCAGTCATACTTGCCAGATTGAAATTTAATTGTAAACCTTTGAAATACTACCACAATGTAGCATGTTTCAAAACTGCAGTTGTTAACTGAAATAGTTGGGGCACAACCTTTTTACAACTGGTTTTCTGGGAAGTGAGAATTTTGAGAGAGTATTTTTGGAAATCCTAAAATAGGGTAAGGTAGAATAATTATCAGTTAAAAAGTGACTAGGAAAGCCATCCGTTCATTTTGGGTGGGGGGAAAAAAAACACACCAAAAAAGGAAGATAGCTGGGCTGGTATTTCTGATACCAGCCAGCATTTGTGTACTCTAGTAGTCTAGTGCCAAACATTTTAAGATGAAGGTGGCTCTCCTAAATTCAAGTACACATGCTGAAGTCATACTAGTTCATTTTGATGAGAAGAATAAAGGTAGAGGATATAACTTAGTGCAGCAGTCCTCATTTGCATGAGAACTCATTATTCAAATAAGACTATAAGATGAATATGTTACGTATTGTGCCTTACCACTGCAGATACAGGGGAAGTGGTTTTACTTTGCATTAACCTGCTGAACTACAAAATCAGCAATATCATGAAATTGTGAAATAAATTCCTTAAATGCCATGTAAATAAATATTCTAAGTGATATTTTTACTCTGACACCAAGTGTTGCAGAACTTAATATTAACTCACATTATTGTGAGCAAAGGAAAATAGTTTAGGTAATATGATCTATGCAGAGTAACTGTTAGTGCCATGAAAGCCTGTGCTATTGAAGTGGTGCATTATGAGGGGAGTCATCCTTTTCTCTTTGCTTGGTACCTATCAACATGGTAATCATCAGCTTAACTTTCATTCACAGAATGTATAAAGCATGCCCATGGCCCACAGTGTCTTTCTCATCTGCTGAAATATTATCGGATGCCTTCTCTAGATACATATTCTTTTCCACATCTAAGAACAAATTCCATTTTCTTTGGCTGCTGTCATTGGAAGTTTGCATGCAGTTGCTTTTGAATCGGCCACTTGCATTTGACCAACCTAAATAGGGACGAGATTAAACAACCTGTTTCAATCATTTTTATTCTGCTTTCAGATTATTCAAAAGGCTTTGGTGGAAAGTATGGTGTACAGAAAGATCGGATGGATAAGGTAAGTAGTTTAAAGCAATCATGAATTTGGTAGTGTATCCATTTAAAGATTTCCCCATACTGATTAGAGAGATTGGATATACAATGCTGTGATCTCTAGATTTGTATCTTGTTCAAAGAATTATCCTATCAGGTTCTTCATAAAATGTTCTTCCTTTCTTTGGCAGATCTTGAAACATTTTATAAAGGGTTTGCAGCCATTATCTGCATTTTATAAAGGCAGGAAGGGAACTCCAAAGCATAACATTTGTCCAGTGACTCAAGTCACTCATGGTGGAGCAGGCTAAAAAGTAAAGCCTGCTCTCTACGTGGTCACTTTTCTCGTCCAGCCACCAGATGTTGCCTCATTTTACACCTTGTGAATGTCATCTTAGTTGACTGGAAAGTCGGTATCCTTGTGTCCACCTACTTTCCCCATCCACAATTAAACAAACTTACAGAGAAAGTGGAGTTGCTAGCCTTCATTGTCCTACCACAATAAATATTCTGAAAAATTTGAATAGGGTAGCTAGAAACCATTTCCCACTTCATAAACTGGAATGGTTCTGATTAATACTCATCCAGTATCATAATGGATCTTTGGAATCTCTTGACTGTAATTTTTTATACAGGATTCATTATGATGTGAAAGGAAGCAGCATTTAAAAAACAATTAGAGGATGAAGGTCTCTACATAAGATTTGCTAAGCACTGTTAATAAGTGTACTGAGGTGTTTTTTAAAGAGGTCTCAACATTTCAGATTCATCTACCTCATAGGTAGGAAGTTGTCTTTCCCATGGTTTCAAATATCAGTGAACCTTTGAGGAATATCTACCTCCAAAATACTTATTTCCGTTCAAGATTTCTTTGTATTTACTTTTAGGAGGGATATGTTATCTTGGTAGAAACAGCTTCTGCTACACAGATTTAGAACAACAAATAATCACAATAAACATTTAACTAGCTATTTTATTTCTCATTTTCATAAGCCATCAGTATATGAATGATGTAAATATTCCTTTTATTACTAGATTTAGTAATATGTTGCATCTGTTCCTGAATGGAAGTTAACTCTAAATAATCTGGTATATTGAAAGAATTGTCATTCTTTATATCACGTTTTAAGACAAAAGTATAGTAGGTTCCTGACAAAAATCCTGCTCTTGGATTGAGGTGTCATGATTCAGTGTTTCGGTAAAATATCATGCAGTGCCTCATGAACATATGATAAGAGAAACCATGATTTCTCAGTAGTTACTTTAATATCTTTACTGTTAGAATGCAGCAACTTTTGAAGATATTGAGAAGCCATCATCAACTTATCAGAAGACAAAGCCAGTAGAAGCTGGTAAGATTATATCTGTATTTCATGGAATCCTTTTCTACAACCAGTAGGTCACCCTACCTCTACACCAAAAAGTCAGGAAGCTTGCTTCAGCTTGACAGGGAATTTCCTCTCATATTGATGAGTGTGAATTTAACCATAACACAGATTTTTATGAGTTTGGGTAATCTTGGACAGACCATTAACAATCTCTTCCACCTTATTTTCCACCTATCTGGGCTGTAGTACCTTTCTTTTTGTGTGATGGACAGGTGGCATTTTTTCTCCTCACAGTATGAACAGCTGAATCTATATTACAGTGGAATTTAAATGAGAACTTTCTCTCACTGAGAAATGGAAACAGGACCCAGAAGCAAAAGAAAAAGGATAAAAAGTTCCCTTGATTTTTGACGTAGTTTGTGTGCAAATTTTCACTAGAAGTAGATAGAAATCTTCACTAGAAGGAGAGAGAAATCTTCAGTCTTGTGTCAGGATAGAAATGAGCCAGTTTAAACAAAGCTAATAGTTAAAACTTATATAACACTCATATATAAACACTCATTTCAGTTCACATGATTTAGCTAGTTCAACCTAAATCAATATGAGTTTGGTTTCAGTACTGAATTTACTAAATCAGTACAACTCTCTTGTCTTGTCAAGGGCTTCACTGAAAAAGCAAAAGTAAGTAATATTGTTATTACATTCCAATGCATATCAACTTACTGATTTTTTTTTTCTTTTACTTAATGGTTGCTGCCCCACACTCCAAACCCAGGTCATGGCAGGCTAAAGAGGGATTACAATCTCTGTAGTCTGCTTCCTTGCATAGAAATACTGGTCTGAATAAAAATGGCAAGCTGCTTTCTTGTATGCGTTAGTCTGAATTACTTTTAGTTCACCAAAAGTGTTTTTTACAGCTACTGATAGATCTTGTGATCATCCAAATAGGGAACAAAAAGTACATTGTGGCTTAGGGTTCCAGTTTGACGAGGTAAAAATTGCCAGTGTGACCTAACTAACATAAGGTTTTTGTTCTGCTCAGAATCTTGCTTAAGCCCTCTACAGTCTCTGGGCCAGATTTTTCATTGAACTCTGAGTGGAGTGAGTATTAAAGACATGTGGGAGAGTGAAGAATGGGTACAAGTCCCTGGCATAGAGCAGCAAGTAGGAAGGTTACAGGAGTCTCTGCCATATTCTCAATTCCCATGCTCACCTTCCTCCCCCCCTTCACACAGAGTTAAGTGGAGGAGAAGAGAGATACGTGAGAGAATTCTGGTATGGATAGTGACATCAGCCTACAAAAGCTATGAGGACCCTTGTGTGAATTCTGGATTTAAACTCCTTCTAGCCTAGTATATTTTGCCATATTAGCACAACCCTCTACCTGGCCTAACTTACCCTGATGGAAATGCAGCTGTGCTACTGTTGGCACCTTACCCACCTGAGATATTTCTACTCAGCACTGCATTGTATTGTGTAGACATTCAATAAGAACAGCACTTCGCTTTTAAATTTTCATTTTAAGTTTGATTACATGTTTTACTTTTTTAATTTGTAACGTTGCAGTGAATAGTAAAGCAAGCAGCATCCGAGCAAACTTTGAAAATCTAGCTAAGGAAAAGGAACAGGAAGATAAAAAGAAAGCAGAAGCTGAGAGAGCTCAAAGAATGGCCCAAGAGAAACAAGAGCAGGAGGAGGCCAGAAGGAAACTAGAAGTAAGTGAGATTCAAATGCCTATTGTGCAAATTCTTGTGGATTTTGAGCTCAGCGTGAGAAAAGGAAATATCTGTCCTCCAAAGCAAGGCTGTCCAGCTACTGAAGGAGGCAGGGACTACATAGTCCACAGGCCACACCAGCATGAGCCATAGACCTCTCAGGCCACGCTTCTTGCAGGCACCATTCCCCTGCTGTGCTGCATAGGTGCCCCTCCCCTACTCCCTGTTAATCAGTATTGTATTTCATAAGTTACGTACTCAACTTTGAGAACCTTTTGCAGTTCTTCACCATCAGTTTTGTCCTTTACCACCCTGAATAGTTAGAATAGATAATGGATTCCCAGAATTGGAAATTAAGGAAATATGGTTTAGCCCTGGCATGATTCTTGAAACCATCACATTCATGCCCCAGTGATTCATACTTTATGCAAGCATTTTAGCTTATGCATTGATGCAGATTGTTTTAGTTGCGGTGTGGGATTAATCCTGTGTCCTGCAGGGGAAACCAGATTTATTATTCCTGTTATTACCAAAGAACTTAAATAGATACAACGTTACACCCCCCCCCACCGCACCTTTTATCTTATTTTTTTGGACAAAGACTATTCTTACTTTTATGTTTATTTTACTGTGTGAATTCATGGTTCATCCCTATCTTAAATACTGTGTGCAACTCTGATCTCCACATCTTAAAAAGGATGTAGTAGAATTGAGAAAAAAGTACAGAGAAGGGCAAGCAAAATGATCAGGGGTATGAAGGACTTGCCATACTGGAAGAAAGCAAAAAAGGCTAGGAGTCTTCAGTGTGGGAAGGAGAAGGCTGAGGGGGATATGATAGAGGCAGGGGTGGGCAAAATGCAGCCCACAGGCCAGATGTGGCCCACCAAGCTGTTCTGTCTGGCTCGTGGGGCCCCTAAAAAATTTAGAAAATTAATATTTATCTGCCCCTGGCTGCCTGTCATGCAGCCCTCAATGGCTTGCCAAAACTCACGAAGTGGTGCTCCTCCTCCCGAAATAATTGCCTGCCCCTGAATAGAGGTCTATACAATTGTGAAGGAGGTGGACCAAGTGAAAAGGGAACTGTTATTTCTCCAAGTCCCAGAATACTACAACTATGGGGCAGCCACTGAAATTAGTTCATGGTGCAGCATCTCCGTTAATCTTGGAGTTCTCCCTTTGCACCACCCTGCCACTGATTAGCTGAGGGGCCCTGTCAGCCCCACTGCTTGCTCCTGATGGCCTGAGGAGAAAACCGTGGTTATAAATATGCTGTGGTTTTTGCGTCCCACTGATTGCTGCTGGGAGGCAAAAACCATGGCATATTTACAACGCTGGTTATCTCCTCCCAGCCATCAGGAGCAAGCAGCAGAGCTGACAGGGCCCCGCTACCATTCAGCAGCAGGGTGGCAGGTGCACTGGGGGAGCTCCAAGATTAAAAGTGTAAAGCTCACACTGCGAGCTGGGCCTTTGATTTAAACAAAGCCCTACAGATAGCATAGCCAGGTTCAAAAAAGGGACAAAACACATGCTTGGACAATATATCTATTAATAACTATTAAACAAAATGGTTGGAGATGTTTCCTCTGGCATCTCTAAACCAGTAATGTGGATGCCAAGGAGGGTAATGAACAGGGAGGGCATAGATCAGTCTAGGTATACCTGGTTCAGCACTTTTCCTCTGCAGTGTCCACTTCTGACTCTGTCAGAGATGGGATACAAGGCTAGATGGATCACTGGTCTCACCCAGGATGTCATTTATATTCTTATCATAAGGGAATAGTAAAGAAGAAAGTCTTTGCAAGGCCGTTGCCAGACCAAATACTTGTTCTGTGTGCTTCTGAAAACCTGTTGTATTAATGAGCTGAAGTATACAAGAGGAAAACTTACTGGCTTTTGCTGCCAAAAGGCATAAGTTGTTTCTCCTGAGTATTGTAGGTAGATATTGTCAGCTAGATAGCTGGGGGAGGCTTTGCCTCTTAAGCTTTGGGGAAAAAAAACAAAGTTAAAAGTACTGTAAAACTTCTTGTGTTTGTTTTTTAATACCCTCTCAATTCCAAAAATTAAAGCAAAAAAGCTCTGTAGATCACACCTCGGTCAAGATAACATGGCACATTGTGGCCTGCCTGAAGCTCCAAACTGGTCGGTCAGCCCCAGACTCGCACTCTTGTGTTGCAGAATGTGCTGGTAATGTTGCCTTTATTTACCTTAGAGGTGCATCAATATATCGGTCTCGTATCAGATTGGCATTGATAACGGGAAAATTAACATTATTGGCTATTGGCTTTTTTTTTT